CTATGACAACTGCGCTCCGATTGGCCAGCCCGAATTTGAAACAATTGACGGCTGTCGTCAATTGTTTCACTTCAAATCGGCCAGTTTAACTTGAGCTTTGCTGTAATGGACGAGAATAAAAAAAGTACATATTTAATTAAATATAATTACCGATGAAATGTGAATCCGTTTGTTTTATAATTAGATGTTTTGCTGTTTTTCCCACACCACCGAATGGAACAGCCGCCATTGTTACAGATATTATCTTTATTACAATAACTACAGAATATTTTTGGAATATACAGAGACGTACACATAGGTCAGTTGTTGGCGCTGTACTATTTCAGTTTTATAATTTGTAATTTCAGCGCAAACGAAAGTTGATATATAAAAGTGATATAAGGCCCATTTGCCTGATAAGTTGCCAGGGATGGATGGCCTTTATTTCGTCTCTATTTCTGGTTACATACTCGATGTGTCAAGTGGACATAAGTGACGGGATGAACAAGTAGTGCGCCTGGTGGTAAGCTACACGCCTGTCCATAGCAGTTCCAGTGCCACTCAGAGCTTTGAAATCGAAAAGATGCCACCGCATCAGTCACCCTGAGACGTAAGTTGACAAGTTCCATGTGTCTGTAAAAGCCCTTCGCCGCTCAAGTTTACCGCTATCATATTTCTCCTGTGAAACCAAAGGGTTCTCGATTACGCCTAACCACTCTGTCTTTAGCTGACCTATTATTTAGAAATGGACTGAAATAGTAAAATGTGTACCGGAATTTAGGAACTGACTTATCCGCAAGTAGGCAACCCCGTGCCATTCCAAAACTGGCCTAAAAACTATATACTAAGATATGTCACACTGAAATTGAAGTAATAGTTGAGATCAACCGAGTACCATGGCAATATAGATAAACGACAATGCTAGATATAAATGTACTAAAGGCGACGCGTTACCACTTTACCGATTTATCGGTACGGTAGCGACGCAACATCAATATCGGTAAAACGACACTATAACGCCTTCATCTACGCACATGTCGGTATATTCTTCAGTGGCGACGCGTGAAAATTGTCTTTAGTAAAGTCGGAGCAAAACAAAAAACACTTTTTTTCTTTTTTTTAATATATATAATAGACACACGCTTGGCCACAATCTCACCTGATGTTAAGCGACGATGTGACCGACGATGGGACGCGTTTGCCTAAAAAATGCCTATTCACTCTAGCCTTGAATAGCCCCAAATTGTAAATACAGATAGCATTCCATTCCTTTGCCGTACGCACCAGAAAGGAGGAAGCAAAGCGCTTAGTGCGAATAGGTGGAATATCAACGACATAAGAATGGAGTGCTCCGGACCTTCTAGTCGACCGAAGGAGGAACGGTGAGGGCGGAACCAAATTGAAAAGTTCCTGCGCACACTCCCCGAAATGTATCCGATAGAAAACCGACAAGCAGGCTACTTTTCTGCGATGATCGAGATTTTGGAGCTTCGACTCCACAAGAGGATTATTTATACACTTCCCTTGCAAGTAGTGCCGTGGCGACAATTAAGCACAACACTTATTAGCACACAAGATTAGTATCTTGTACACTTCATTTCACTGGTTAGTTAGTTATTCTACTCGTAAAATTGAGCATATAATGTAGTAAATTACTTTAAATAATATTTGATAATATGTGTCAAGCCGGTGTAAATCGAGTTATATGGTCGCCTCGCCACTGATATTTTTGGTATAAAATTCTGCAGGACCGCTTGTGACGTCGCGAAACAAGGTCCTCCTAGAGTGATAAAGACATTTTGGCTTCGGCTAGTCTATAATTGTACAATACTGGATTCTTTTCAATTTCCAAATTAACATGGATGTCTCTGTCCGCCGTCATACGAGTGGCGCCTGGACGAGCAAACCGATACACGGTAACTCGAAACGATCCCTTCCCGCTCCTGTTCAAACCGCGCCAAAAAAAGAAAGCTCATTTTGAAATATAGGCGCTCGGTAAGCTTTCGGTACTGCGTGTACCGAGCGTACCGATACCGGTATAACACCAACAAGTCCTTAAACGGCCTTAGGCAACGGCGCACAGTAGCAGCCATTTGCAGCCAGCTTGTTCGTATTATTGATACGAAGTGAATAAACACAAAAAAATCCTTCGACCCGGCTGGACACGTACCAGCTACTTTTTCGCCAAACCGGGGCTATCCAGCCAGGATCAAAAGAATCCTTTGTGTTTATTCAATCTTTGTAACAATAATAACGAGAAGGTGGAAGAAACGGTTTTTCGATTCCGTATTATCCATAACATACGTTCCCAAACATTTTTGACTCACCGCCCACTTAGGCAAAATAAAAAAATTTCAACGCCCACCACCACAAAAATAATTCAGAACCATTCGAGAACACGTATTCTTTATGTTAACTGAACACAAAAAACCACAAGAGACGCCCCCAACTGCTTCCGTAGGACACCCTAGGACTCTTCAGCTTTCCCAAAGTGGGCACTTTGAGAAACTATGATCTATACCGTGTAGGAATACGCTTTCTTGCAGATGAGAAACGCCAAAGGGAGATTAAGGCTCAATTTATATTGTTGCGAAATTGAATGGAAACTAATTTATGTAACAAACTTGTACGTAGCATAATGCACTTCATGTCAATTATCTAACGTACAAACTCGATACGGTAGTTGCGGGAATTCCTGAGACTGTACGAGAATTCTCCGGAAGACGCTCGACCTGTTTCTTTGGTTTTTATCTAGTTTGTACATTATACAATATAAAAAAAAAACAGTTAATTACTCTATGGTTACAAAAATTCGCTTGAAAACCTCTCAGTAGAATCGCGTATTCCGTAGGTATTGCAATACGCAGAGACTTGACGCTATAATACGGAGTTGAAACGCCTTTTCTTCGTGAAATTATGGTTCCAGTTATCCTATAATAGCATAGAATGACTGTTCACATTTTATGACACATCTCTGAGTTTTTCCTCTTAAACAATTATTTCCATGAAATTGTTAAATTCACTTTAAATAAAACTAATTAAAAACAAAATTAAAAAAATATACTTATAAATATAAATAAAATTATAAAAATATACACATAACTGAAAAGATGAGTCAAAAAAATATTCCTTACGTATAACTTAACAATATTGATTTCAAATAAATAAAATTTGTAAATAAATTGCTCTAGCCTCAATAAAAATTTAAGTTTAAAAAATATCACAATAAAATAAATGCATCAAGGGTGATATAACTGTCGTATCTACCGATCTTTTTATAAGCAAACTGGCAGATAATAATGTCACAATTAGAACAACACAAATTGAATAGTCAAATTACAGGAACGTGGGACTTGTCAACTTGTGTCTCAGGGTGACAAGCGCAATGGCAGTGCCCCTCAGATCCTTAGAAGTCAAACTCTGAGTGGCACTGCAACTGTTATGGACAGGCGTGTAGCTTACCATCAGACGCACGACTTGTTCATCCTGTCACTTGATATTATAAAAAAAAACACAAAGAAAAATTCCATCGATCTTACTGGACTCTAACCAATGTCTGTTGCCATGCCGGAGCGACCACTCTTAACCAACTGGCTCTGTCTGTTACTCAGTTAGTTACAAGTCCAGTCAGATTGGAGTAATTTTTCGTTGTGTTGTTCGATCTTTATATCGGTAATAATAATAACAAACTAGTGGAGTATTTTCACAAAAAATATATGAATGTCACGGTACTAAAATATCATGTTATTCAATAAATAGTAGTTTATGTCACTGTTACATAACGAAAACAAGCGAGTTTTATAAAAACATCACACGACTGTTTTAATGCTGTAATCTTTAACGCTGGTCGTAATTTGCGGTTTTCGAACACATCATAGAGGGTTTATGAAATGTGTGTAGATAAAAAATATAATGTCACTTTTAAAAACTATGTTGTCATGTTAATTGCATAATGATGTGTTTGGTTCAGTTTTCAATAAATTCAGTGAAACAGAATCAGTAAAATTCACTATTAGTTAGCTATACAGTCATTCAATTACTTTTAATCTCTACATACTTAGAATAATAACGCATAGAAACCTAGTCCGCACACGCTAAGTGAGGTAAATTGTAGCGCGCCAAAAGGGCCTACACGAGCGGGCGGGCCTTCAGTGCTCAAGGTCAACATGCACCGCGAACAGATCAAGAATTTTAGCTAAAAATGACGAAATGTGCGGTAAATGAGTGTAAAAATACGTCAGACAAACATAAAATAGATACTAACATCACATTCTACAAGGAAGTAACGCGTTTCAACTTGTATTTTTATATAAATATTCACTAAAACCGAAAATTAACCTACTACTAAAACTAGCCTACATGAATTTGATTTTTGCCTCACTTGTGACAGTTCGTTTGATATGAAACTATCATTCTATGCGTTATTATTCTAAGTCTACATACTTGTATCGTTTTTCTGTTATCGAATTTTCAAAATTTTAAAATACTTACAAAACACAGCTTTTTAAAAATAGCGTCTTCAACCAAAATAGTTCATTTTTTGTCTTAACTGTGTAATTGGTACTAAAACCTCATAAAACCATTTTTTTTAATATACCAAGTGACAGGGTGAACTAATCATGCACCTGGTGGTAAGCGACACGTCTATCAATAACAGTTGCAGTGCCACTCAGAGCTCTAAATCGCAAAGATCTTAGGGTCACTACCACTGCGCCCGTCACCCTTAGACATATTAAGTTGACAAGTCCCATGTGCCCACAATTTAATTAAAAAATAGGAAGATTTTCTTATGGTAACATCATTTTCAATTTAGACATTTATGTAGGAACGTTGCAATGTAAGACATACTATAAGGGCGCGTGTACATGCTAAGAAATTCGACGTGATTGCTACAGAAAAGTTGAGAATGGTCTTGTACACGACAAGAACTTATCTAGCCACGAAAACAAGTAGTGTCTGTTGCAGACGAGAAAATGATGAGTATGTACACGATACGAATGCTTTCGGACAGACGTGTGTAGGGTAAAATGCATTACGAGTCTTCCAGGTAGCTGTCGTTTTACTAGCGACTGTGGGAAGAAATATGTTGTTGTGTACGTTGACTACTAAGCAACACCCGTCCACGCGCATAAACGTTCGTTTATTGACAATGCACCTCGACCTGCTCCATACAATAGCGGCAGAGAGCGTCGTGTCCGTGGTAGACAAGATTTTTTTCTTGTCCGGCGCCGATGCAATGTACACTGTTCGTGTGTAGAAATGACGCGTATTTCTTTTCTTAGCGTGGACACGCGCCCTAATTAATCAATAGTCTGTAATACGCCACAGAATGAATATAATTAAGTACGATATTTCCAATAGGCAGAATATAACAAAACCACATTCAGCTAATCTCACATATTCCATATACAAATCATGTCAAGTGTTGCTATAAACAATTTTCAATTTCCCCATTTCTCACGAGATTCTGAGACCCATATTTTAGTAACACCCAATTTTTTAAATTCACACATGCTTCAAGTTACTGTAACTAGCGCAAGCGTCTTTAAAGTTGGTGGCATTGAAAACAGTAAAATAATCATCGTGAATAAACCTGACTATGCTCTCAATCGGGCAAAGATACGTGTTATAAACTTTCACGTTATCGACGGGGTCGACAACCTTCATAATAATATTTTGTTTGTTTTTACAAAAACTCAATTTATTCGTTATATCCTCCCCATTATAGACTACGCGAAAATAAAAATCTTGAGCCACAGCTTTTCGTTTAATAAATTTGAACTCATCTCTCAAATCTCTCTTTCTATATACTTCAAATACCATTCTAGATGCATACTGTATGTTATAATGTTGATAGTTATTCAGTCCTAACGCTAAAATCAACGCTTGCAAAGTTTTATCATGACCCGAATATAGTACGTATTTGGGCTTATTTTCCGATATCATTCGAATCATATTTTGCACAATGTTATGAATCAAACCATAAGCAACTAACAAACCTCGCCTTCTATTATGAACGTTGCGTATTTCTTGCCGATAACTCCATTCCAAATATGCAAACAGGGACATAACGTGTTCCTTTAAAATACAGAAATCTTCGGGACTTTCCGTTGGTTCTTTGTAATCTTCATCGAAGTCTGTATCCATTCGTGCATCATTCGGGAAATTAAAATCAGCGTCCAAATTCTTTTTCACGATAACAACGTCATCATACGCATCTGCACTATCCATATATCTTTGTTGATAATAAAGAAGCTTCTCCCTTTCCATTTGTGCGTCAAAATCCAGTGGTACCTTCCTATCTTTACTATCATAATATTTATTAATGATATCTCTGGCTTTTCGACCAATTTCGTTGTTGAAATCTAATTGGTTGTTTATGTAATCGAGTTCCATGTTCAAGGTGTCAATGTCAACGTCCAAAAGACTTCTTAAAGGGACGTGTTCAGACCTTAATTTCTTGTGTCCTTTAGCCCCTCTTGATTTAGGTCTAGGTTTTTCTGAGCAGGGAAACGGGGCATCATGGCACATGTAAGCCAATAATGCGTCTCTTACTACGTCAGCGTCGATGTGTTCCTGAGATTCGAATAAAACTTTTGAGAGTTTAATGACTAGATCTTTGATTGCTGGATGAGATTCAAGACGGTTTTTTGTTTGTATGTTGATTTTCCTGCAAATTATTAAAAATAAATGTTACATTAGGTTGGAATGTCGATTCCCAAAGTATCGACCCCCAGTAGGGTTGCCATAAACGGCGCGACTTGCGCGAAATGACGCGCCAGATACTGCTATTCTATTTCGATTTTTCTCAATAAGGCTTACTACTACATATATAGAGTGGTCCGAGGCAAAACCTAAAAGTGACAGGACGAACAATTTGTGCCCTGGTGTTAAGTAACACGCCTGTCCAAAACAGTTGCAGTGCCACTCAGAGCCTTACATCGCAAAGATCTGAGGGACACTACAACTGTGCCCGTCACCCCTGAGACATAAGCTGACAAGTCCCATGTAGCTGTAATTTCATCACCCAGCACCCTTACCCTTCAAAACCGGAACGCAGTAATTATGACATTACTACTTGGCGGCAGGAATAGGTGAGGTAGCAGTACTTCAGGGAAGGACGAACTCTTTCACAAGGAGTTCTACTGCTACTAAAACGTTGCATTGTGATGCTGCGTTGTATTTCATATCAATAAGAATAACTTGGCCTCAAACTAGGATTTTCCTTGTGCTACGAGTACCAGAGCCAGAAAACCCAGACCAGGACCAATTTAGAAAAGTTTATTTGCCAAATTGGTCCTACCGAGATTCGAACCACGCACAACCTCATCTAGCGCCGACAATGCAAAACGTTAACGTTAGATAACTCATATTAATTCACACATTCACACACTTTTGCGTTTTGCCTCGGAACTCTCGATACTGCACTACCATTACGTTATTTTTAGATGTACCCATCATTTCAGTGGGTCATACGATAGCACCGATTCTCACGTACTTGTTGAGCTGATGATGTTTAGCGCAGGCGCAGTCGGCCGCGCAGAAGGCGACGGAGTGAGTCTCCCTGGCGGCCGCGGCCAGCGAGCCAGCGCGGGCGCCCCACGCGCCCCACAACAACCCCACCAGCGACTGGAACGTGCGCCGGTACCGAGTGCTTATTGATATCACCTCGCCTGCGGCATAAATTTGGATTGAAACACAGTTATATTTATTTAACAATAAGACAATTATAAATAGAAAAACCAAGTCTAAAAGCTGACCAGCGTGTCAAAAGGCTCACATTTAATAGAAGCGAAACGGTATTCTACAGGATATACACGGAGAGTGTGCAATGGAATTGCATGATTTGATTCCGCCTTGCCCTGTCCATCATCGAGGGCCTAAGCGTGGGCTGTGGTTCCACCCCTATGTTGCGGATATTCTCAGACGAGCGGCTAGGGAGTGGAATTCCCTGCATGCGGGCTTGTTCCCCGAACGCTATAATTTGGACCTTTTCAAGGTGAGAGTGAATAGCCAATATTTAGGTGTGCATGCTGCACCGTCAACCTCATCATCACTTTCCATCAGATGAGGTGGAGGTAAAAAAAACTGGCCGACAGCGAGTGGCGGCGCGGTGACGGCTTGCGCGATTTGATCAAAATGCCTAAGTTTGCATATGCTTTTCTTGACGACAGCGGCGCGAGTGGCGGTACACGAAGGTGACGCTCCAGGCAAGCGGTGAATGCGCGTTCGAATAAACATAGAGTCTCTTGGTGCTTACCCACACCGATTTTTTGATCAATCAAATTTAGAGACGTCATCGGAGGAAATAATTTCAGCAGTTTTAGAAAGAGCACCAAGACGGAACAGCAAACATATCGACCATAAAAATAGAAGGATTATTAATCACTACAAAGATAAGAATAGAAATACTATCCGTTCACAATTATTTTTTTTTATTTCAATTTCAAGTGCCGGGACGAACAAGTCGTGTGTGTGCCCGGTGGAAAGCGAGACCCCTGTCCATAACAATTGCAGTAGGTACAACTCAGAGCTTTAAATGGCAAAGATCGGACGGACACTGCCACTGCGCCCGTCACTCTGAGACACAAGCTGACAAGTCCTATGTCCCTATTATTTCACCAGCACCCTTACCCTTCAAAACCGTAACGTAGTAATGTTCCCATTACTACTTGGCGGCAGAAATACGTAAAGTGTACTTCCCTGGACGAACTCTTTCACAAGGAGCTCTACTGGTACTAATTAAAGTATATTCAAGAAGAAAAAGAAGATGCAAAGTAGAATTTAAATAAAGAAATGTACCAAGGAAGCAGAAGAATCTCTGAGGGTGTACTGTGTGAAGTTGTGTACGAGACGAAAAGGTATCGAGTCGTTTGTGGTTCGTTAGGGACACGGAATCAAATGGAATAATTGTTTGCTATAGATGTGAAATCCTGTACCTAATGCACCTAACATCCTATACATACACATTACCTTGTTATAAATAATCTTTTCAAAAGATTGATTCGTGTAAAAACAACACAACAACAACACACAAAAAAGATGAGAAAAGAAAAGAAAGCACAGAAAAATTCGTAAGGTTCGTTCCGTGGCTTAGTAGACATAGCGTCTACACGGTTTGCTAAGCGACGATGGTTCGAATCCAGCCGGATCGAACGAATTTTTGTATTAATAATCACAACAAACTACATAATAACAAATAATTGAACGTCGTAGTGGTGAAACATCCTGTCATTCAATAAACTAGATACGAAACGGATATCCGGGAACGATCCGGTATCCGGCCAATGTTTATTATCCGGCCGGATACCGGATAATAAAACAATATCCTGCAGGATATCGGATGTTTAAAACTGAGAAAATTTGTAATCAGTACGCACAAATAAATGTATTTATTGATTAATTTTATTTCGTAAGTCTGACATAAAGCCCAGAATTAGTTAGGTCACAAACAAATTAATAAAACTAAATTCAAACAAAATAATAACGGACGTATCAAGTGGAAGGCTTACACTTACAACAACTAGAAATTGTAATATAGCCAAAGCATTATGTGAATGCTTTTTGTCCTTCTCCACGGCGAGAAATTTGCATTTGGCGCAACAAACAAACAAATAGCACTGATATTAAAATATTGCTAAATTCGCGATTTTTTTTTTCAATGGTAACATTTTTCTGATATATTTTTGTTTGTATGGTCGCGACATGTTTACGATATTGGGTCGGAGATACGTTGGACCTATATCCGGCTATCCGGCCTATGTGCTTGCCGGATACCCGGTATCCGGGTAAATCACTATCCGTTTCATCTCTACAATAAACTCAACAAAACAATTGTTACAAACCTGTTTCCTTCTTTCCCACGAGTTCCACGTTACTTAATGGTAATTTGTCGCCATAAGCATCCTTCAGGATAGTACCTGAAATTATAAGATCACACCATTGACCTACCAACAAATGGACGTCAGGTCTAATACAAAAACCACGAAAACAATGTCCGAAGTTAATACACAAATGTACTGACATGTAAACGAAATATAAAAAAACGTCATTGCAGTACTGCCTAATTTTGCTTGCAACAATTAAAGGGCCCAAAAACACCATATTCAGCTTCTACTGTAAACTCAACAAAATGCACCATATTTAGCTTCGACTGAAAATTACTTGAACACAAGAGTAATGGAGCAGCCTTTATTGTAAATATTAATTAAATTTTATATATATTATTATGTCGAATTTTGTACAAATTCACTTAAAGCAATAATAGCAGCAGGTTGGGCAGATACATACATACAAATATTACAAATGTGAAAATAAGCGTGTACTATAAAAAATGTACCGATATTCCAACTAAACGTAAACTCAAATATTCATAATTCCGAAAACCGATTTATAATAAAACCGTTGCGCTTTCAAGTAATTTTGATGCTTTTCAATAAGACAAAATTAGCTTTTGTTTTGTAATTATTCATGAAAAAAATACATTTGACATTATGAAAATTCGAGCTAACGTTATTTCGTGCAAATGTTTTTTGCTGACTTCTGATGGTAATCCCAAGCCATAAAACGAGTACAACAATATTTTGTTACTTATTGCTAACATTAATAAAAAATAATTTTAAAAATAAGATTAAAATCAAAGCGACTCTATAGTTTCTTTGTTCTAAATATTTTAAACGCTTGTGGTTCGAACAATTTGAAAATGACCAAGAAGTTTATATAAGCTTCTTGAAATTGACATAATGGGTCTCTTTCCATCTTTTGCGCATGCAATGTGTAGAAAAAGGACAGTTAGCTATTTGATTATTTTGTTTGCTTTTGTAACGTATATTA